TTAAGTGTCTTTGTGAATACTTTAAAAAAAATTTATAGAAACTAACTTTTTACATTTTACTTTAATTTGATTACCTCAGTGTTTGGTGTTTAGTTTAGGAGCTTATTTATTATCTAAGTAAACAAGCTTTTATTGCACATGTAAACAGTAAGCATAAAATGCAGTGAAAGGAAATCAATATAATTGCTTGATTTCACTATGTAGACGAAATTACTTTTTAAATGAAATTCAGACCACTAAGAATTTATAGGAGCAATTGATATTATCACCAACCACTATGATAAATTGAAAACGCGATCAAGTCCACAGTTTATTAGCCAAATATATTACAGCCCATATTTTTTTTTTGATTCAAGCATTGTTATTTCGCACAATACAAACAGCTCGATACATTTGAGGTCAACTATTCTCCGACTTTTTGAAGAAGTCCAAATAAAATATTTTTGATCGATTGTTCTCTTATTTGAGAACCAATTTCAACACAACCATTTTTTGGTTTAAAAATAGTAAATGATGACTTAGTCAAGCAAATATAAAGACTTATAAAGCATTTCATTATAAAATTCATAAAACTTTAGCGTAACGTTGGTTAAAGTGGTAGGCTATCAGATAACTTCTATGTACCTCAATTAGCAATTTTTCGCCATTTACCCACCACATTCCTCGTAGGAACCACTTAGGTAGAAGAATATAGACTGAATCCATTACATGGAATTTCGATAATTTAATAGGTCTTTCGTCTTTACCGAAGAACAGTATAATAGGCTGTCAAAGAAGACCTTCCTAAAAAGCTTCTGGACGCCGAAGGTGAGCAATCATAGAGAAAACGTTTTATGGTCTCTATTTCCTGCAGGTTTTCACAACTTCTGCATTAAAGATTATGAGCAATGCGTAGTTTCTCCGCGTGGGTTCTTATACTCCATTGACCTGAAAGAACTGCAGTCAGCCTTGCAGTATTCACACGATCTTTTTTGATGATTTCCCAAGGTCTAGTTGGGAAGATAACCGGGAAGTTGCATATGACTTAAGTGCCTTCCATTTGTTATTGGTGTATTGAAAAAACTATATGTACCTAAGTACTGCTCTTAATGGTCTCAATGGATACTAGGGAAGCATCCAGGGAAGCACCGGATCGAACTAAACTGTCAGATTTCTAGTTCCCTCGTTTTAATAGAGAACCACTTATTATACCTATAATATGTTGTTTAAATAGCCCTAAAAAGCTGCTAACATTTTTCTCCGGCAAAAGGTGATCTATATATATTACCGGCATACATACTCAAAAATTGTGATCATCACTTTATTTGCTGCCTTCATTTATTTGATCCACATTCTTCAAAAGTAGTTTACCTGATGATCACCTTAACTGTTCCTTCATATTCATTTAAAGGATGAATCATGAATGAATATGTAAGTATCATATTCATACTAACATATTCAGGATAAATGGATCAGAGAGAATTCAGTTGATCCAACGTTATCAAATATTATTTTAAAATCGTTATACGGTCAAGTTTAAGGACCAGACTTGTCATTCATTTTGTCGATAGCTTTATTACAAGCATACTTTTTTAAAACTAAATAAAACCACTTTGCCAAGCCATATGCCTATGGGGGCAACAAAAGCTCGCTAACTTATAGTTTTCAATTAGTTCTGGGTTTTTAGCAAAGTAGATTCAGTTGGACGTCTGAAAAGCATATGTACGACCAAAGTTAAATTCATTCACATAATTAAACACAGTCGCCAATCACTGATGCAAACATGCTATGGACATCATCCAACTGCCCTGCAATGATGACTAACGAAACTCTTTGTTTTATTCTTCAAATATTACAGCATTGTTCACTTTATGGTCTACAGAAATGAATTATTTGACTATTTTAAGTTAAAATTTTACGACAATCAACTGACGGAATTGAAGTAATATAGTATAATAGTAAATTGATGGTAAATTGAGATAAATATTAAATTATGCCGGTATGGCAGCGAATGTTGGTATTTAACAGAATTTCGAGTAGAATAAATTAGATAAAAATTAGTTAAATTAAATATTACCATTGTGAAAACTTTATAAGATGTTAAATAAAAAAATAAATAAATTTGGAAACTTTTAACCAAAAATAATAAATAAGTGCAATAAATAAATAAATAAATAAATAAATATTTACATAAGTTAAGTGCAGTGCAAAAAAACCCTAAGAATATATATATAATACTTCATTCAGGAAATCCCTTGACTATCACTTGTTTTTGTTATTTGTTACACAGCAGATGCACTTGCTATGCTATAATTAGAAAAATATATCAACCACAGCTATACATTCAGCTATATGCGATAGAGTTTATATTTAAAAATTTACAATAAAATTAAAATAATTAAATAATTTAATTATTAATTTAATTGAATTTAATGTTTAAAAACCAACAATTTAATATTTACTAGTTACCTACTAGTTTCTTTTGAGTTCCTATAAAATTTCTTAAATTATTAGTATTAAAATTAATTATTAAAATAATTGAAACAATTTTTGCCTTTTGTGTGTTAATTCTCTAAAGATAGATTTATGTCACTCGAATTTTCTCACTTGTAAATATTTTAAATTTTTTATTAGAAATTTCAAACCACAACAAGGAATCCTGCTCTCAAAATCCTCTTACCAACTCAAGCAGTGTTTTTTTACTTTGATAACATAAGCCGGCAATAACAAGAATATATGGGGCAAACTGTAGATGCTACATACGAGCACTAAAATCCCTTAAGTATTAATGCAGAAACTTGGTGAATTCAAAACAAGGACAAACTGTCATAGTATGTGACTTAAGGATACAAAAGTTATTTGTTTCTGCGCATAAAAGGCAAGGCTGCTATATATAACCGGGTATATTCCTTTTTATTCATGCACAAAGAGATGCCTAGGCAAAGCGCCTTATTTTCGTATTAAAATTGTGAAGAAAAAGAAATGAAATGAATAAATAAATAGAATTTTCTCTTTGGAAATGCAAAAAAACAGAAAAAACCAATTTATCTTCTTCAAAGAATTTTATGGTATTTTTTTTTTATTTCTACTCGAGTCGTAACAGAAATATGCCAAGTCGTAGACAAACATTCATAAGTTCTCGCAGTTTAATTTATTAACATTAACGATTCTATTTTTCCGTTTCTGTAGGTTTTTAGACATTAAATTGATTTGCATTACTTTGTTGAGAGAAGTTGTTTCATTTTTCATCTCAGGCACTAATGTAATTTGTTATGGTCAGGAATGTAATTAACAAGTTTCTGTAGTTTTGGCTTTAACTAGTGTGTTGTTATTATAGTTAAAACAGGAGCGTCGTACAATAATTCTATTTTATTGCTGTTTAGAAAATAACAAAATAAAGTAAAGTTCGCATATTTTGCTTGAGACTTATAGATATAGAAAATTTTATTGAATTTTCTATATGATAATATGATGCTATCATAGTGTATATATTTAATTTTAATTTTAAATAAAAACAATATAATAAATGCATTACGTTTACACTATCTCAAATACGCCTTTACGCAATTAATGCTCTAATTGAATGGCAATTAGCTGCACACTCCATATAAAAATGTTCAAGATAAAAAATCGAAACAGTATAATTGTCATATGATTTGCTTAAATTATTAGAAGAAAATCTTTAACATTTCAATCTGGAAACCACGTTTTCAAGTATTGATTATAACAAACAGATAATTATAACAAAATGAAATCACTTTAAAAACCCAGTTTCAAAACATATTTTTCAAAATGTCACCTAATTATCATTAATAATTAACTTTCTATTATTGACTTTAATTGTACAATATTAAATGGTAATATTTAATTTTTAAAATTTGAATTACATGAAATTTAATTCTAATATATATATTTTTATTATAATTACCGGAAATACTACCGAAAAGTGATACGATTGTGACTATATATTTAGGATTCTATAAATTTTAAAGATTCTCTCTTAGAAAGTGTACCAAATTTTACCTAATTCTAGATTTAAGGCACTCGTTCCCATTAAAGCAAGCTCACAGCCAAGCAACCATATATACGATCGTGATTTAATTGATTCATTTTACTACTCTGATCAAAAATATAGAATACATGGCTTTTTGACAAGCATGTTAAAAGAGTGTTCGTAATAATATAATGGTACAGAAAATAGTATTGTAAAATGAAAAATAATAATTCAGTATATAAAAAATGTTAATAAACTATAAAAACCCAAATATCATAATCTTTGTCATTCATTGCATAGTTTTCCTTAACTATCGCTTGCTAGACTTAGATCTATTTATCATCTTCGATATTATATTCTTCTGTCTCCATGCACATTGTTGGTTAATATTTTACTCTGTCTTCTCTCTTCCGGTCTTATAATATAACCAACCTTTGCTAATATGTGCTGCTTCTTATATATATTGCTTGTATTTCCATTAGTGAATTGTTATAATTAGTTCATATGATAATAGGTTAGGTTAGATCCGCTTAAGCCTAAAGGCCCACTTTGTAACTGTATAAAGAAAAATTAAGAGGTTTAAAATCACCTTGAAACATTGACAAAGCCTGTTATTTAAGAGGAACTTTTACAGTTAACCAAAATCCTCAAAAAACAAGGCCCCTAGAGTGGTAAGATGATGCCACGCATGTGTTAGACAAAAACAAAGCAGATAGCCAGAACTTTTATCGTCCTCTCCACAATTGCGACAGGTATAATTAAAGGGAAGAATCAATTTCTGGCATAGTTACCTAATCTGCAATTACTTGTGACTAAACCCACCATAATGAGAGCATTGGATTTCCTTTTAATGAAACGAGGACATATTTCACACAGATGCCTACATATCGTTGTGTCTTCCCATACTTTATCATATGTTAATAATTAATAGTAAATTATAAAATATATTTTGAAACAATATTTATTTTTTAAAATTAACTTACGAACTTGTTTTCACCATTTATAATTAATTTTCTCTTCGTTTTAGGTGATATACTTTCAGGCGTTTGCTTTGTTGGGCAATTGGATACATACTCATTGGGTGTCTTTCTTATACTACCACTCTGCATTTACCTGTCAATAGGTGCACTATTTTTACTGGCAGGCTTTGTATCACTGTTTCGCATACGCACAGTTATGAAGACTGATGGAAAACGTACAGATAAATTGGAACGCCTTATGATGCGCATTGGTTTCTTCTCTGGACTATTTATACTACCAGCACTTGGTTTTCTGGGCTGCTTGTTCTATGAGTACTATAATTTCGATGACTGGATGATACAGTGGCATCGTGATATATGTAAACCTTTTTCAATACCATGCCCTATAATGCGTAATGATGGTATTGAATCACGTCCCATATTCCAAATATATATGGTGAAGTATTTATGCTCGATGTTGGTAGGTGTGACATCGAGCGTATGGCTGTATTCCAGCAAAACAATGGTTAGTTGGCGTAACTTCGTAGGACGCCTACAAGGAAAGGATCCTAGGACGAGGGGTCAAGCTTATGTTTAAATTTAAGTTTAGGTTAAGAAATAATTAAATTGTAGTCTATAGGGCTTTATTGTTGAGTGCTTTTTGTAAAGTAACGGTGCGCTCATATGAAAATTGTTTCGACTACGCTACTTTTCATAGTAAAGTGTAAAAATTTTAAATTAAATATTTATTGTTAATAATTGACAACAAAGTTCTGTTGTGAGTAAATCAAAAAAAGAGTAAAGAATTGCTCATGCGCTTTGAGTGAAACCAAAACTTAATTATATATATTAATATAAATTCATTTTAAAATTAAATATTTTTAAATATATAAATTAAACTCTGTTAATTGATTCAGTGTGTTTGGTATTAAATATATATAGTATATAATATATGTATACGTAAATGATATTTTGCTTGTTGAGAGTGACTGTGTATTTATTTTTATATATGTTATATGGGTTTAATTTCTGTATATTATTTAAGATTTTTCAATTAAGTTCTTGTTTTGAATGTAAATTTTAAATTGTATTAAATTTGCACTAATTAAAAGATAAATAAATAAAAATTTAATGAATAGAGCATAATTATAAAATGTTTAGCTTTGTGTAAAAATCAAAATTTTATTTTAAAAAAATAGTTTTACGAAAAAAAAATATTTTTAGTTATTATTTAAGTTATTTAAACAATCTAAGCAGTTTATAGTTGTAAAAGCTTTATGTGCCCTAATAATAATTTTAGTAATTTAAGATAAATATCTTGTAAGGTTTTTCTGTGTTTTACTGTTGTTAGAAGTTCGTGTTCCTATGAAATTTAAAGGACGCACTTCTATTTTATTTTTCTATAAATTTGACAAATATTTAAGTAAAAAATTGAAATTTAAAAGTTTTTTTTTGATTTGTTGTGCAATTAATAAAAGGACCAATTAACCATAGAACACTCAACCAATACAATACATTTAACTAAATTAACTAAAAATTTAAAAATAATTTTAATTATTTTGAAAATTAAAAAAATGTTTTTGTTTTTTATTTCTATTTTATTATTAAATATAAAACTAAAAGAATTTCCATCTAAGAAAAAAATATTTGCAGTTCTCTAACATATTTTCAATCCATATATTTAAACTCATTTTTAAATTTTTTATTACGGGTACTAAAAAAATATTTTATGTATAAAAAAATAATATAATTTCTGTATAAAAACTAATTATAATCAAAACATAAACTGTATAATTTCTATTGTAAACAGTAAGAAACGTCCTCCATGTGCTAAAATTTTTGTTATAAGTATCTTCTAAATTAAATATATTTGTGTATAAAAATAATGTTTGCAAATCGCATGTTAGATTTTAAAAAATTTATATAAAAAAATAATTATTTTAATGACGTTATAGTCATAATATATAAGTTAACCTATTAAATCTTTTGTACAAAGTCTTAAAATTATTATGAAAAATAAAAATGAAAAAATTTAAGTATGAACAATTGTAATTTTTATTTTAAAATCTATACTAAAATCGCTCAAGTGTTCAATGTTTTCGACGAATTTTGAAAATCCTTTTAAAATAAATATGAAAATAAATTTCTGTACAGCTGAAATGCAATATTTACAAAATTAAAAAAAATAAATTATTGAAAATATTAAAAAGTTCTTAATCATTGATTATCTTTAATGAACTATTATGATTTGCTTTATTTCTAATTAAAAAAGTATTGAAAGGTTTAAGGTCCATAGACTTTGGAAGTATTTTTCTATATTACACCATTTATCAAGCGTAGTAGAAAGTCTGAGTTTTGTAATAGAAATATATAGATCAGTGATTTTCATCCTACTGTTGCTAGCAATTTCGCTATTCTTAAGAGTCAATAATGGAAGATATTATTAAAACTCATATTAAGATTTAAATTTAATTAATCATACAATAATAGAAATCCCACGTTGTGGTTTATGAGGAAATTCTACTATGACTGATCTGACTGAGCACCAGCACCCGAGGGAAATCGAAACTTCACCAAGGTTTGTTAAATAATGGCACTCACTACTTCTGAAAACATTTAGATTTTACTATAATAACTAAACATTTTATATGATATACCAAAATCATCAGATATATGAGTCATTTATGGAATAAGAGTATGTATAAGTGCTCTTAATCTACTGCATTCACTGATCATTAAAATAAATCATTTTAAAAAGCTTATCGGAACTGCTTACTGCAAAAGTTCTTTCTATATAATAAATTAGCACACCGAAATCAATCAATAGAATTAATGAAAGTTTACAAACTGATCGAAAAATCAAAGAACAAACCTAAAACCGCCAATTTTTAGTCTATAAATTTTAAATTCAAAGGACACACGCTATGATAGAAAAATACAAATATAACAAAAATTCCCCAACAGTGCAACTCGTGACAAGCAAAAAGATAAGGTAGACCCAGAACAACATGGAATAAAACTATATTAAGTAAATACCATTGATCATGACAACAACTGAAATATATAGCTATGAATAAAAATAAGTGAAAACTATTTATATTCGCATCAAGCAAGTGACTCTAAACTTTCAATGCAATGTCGATATTAATTACAAACGTATAGTTCTAGGTACTGTAGCCGTTTATATCAACTTTATCTGAAGAAAATCTAGTGCTGGATTATAACCATGAGTAGGATATTTTTGTACAAGTTTGATCAAATCTAGTACACCTAGTGGGAACGGTAAATAGAGCGGCGTGGGGGAAGTCCATTGAGTTCGCTGGAGTCTATAGTTCTTACAGTCATGAAGAACTTTCTATGAAAACATTCTTAGAATTATCATATAGTATTAACTGATTCCAAACTAAATTCTCAAATTAATTGTGAAGGCATAAGTCAGGATGTGGCGGATAATTGCTTATAACACAATCTGAGGTTATACTCTTTTAATTTCAATCACGCTGATTGTGGCATTTATAGCACGATCCATAGAAAAATTGTGGTTTTGTTTCAAAGAAAATAAAATTACAAAATACTTCAGTTAGCAACAAGCTGAATCGGAATACACTAATATTTCGATATGCATCGTTAGTTGGAACCGACAAAGTGCGACGCAAATCGAAACACCTCAAATCGAATCACATTTCTCTATATATTTAATTTCCAAAAATATTCTGTATTTTGACCACTTGTTGATGAAGAAATACATTTCAACTCATTGAATATCAACAGAGCCTTATACTGAATTATACTGATTTTCATTTTCTATCCAAATAGATAAAACAACTTTATTTTTACAATTAATATTTGGACTCCAAATGTGTGATAGCTTTTTCATAGTCCTTTATTTTGTCCGTATCACGATTACAAATTGTTCTTATATTAGCTGGAGCTAAACATTCGGAATTTAATATCAGCAGATCTTTCCATAAGTTTAAAACGTTTTAAAATGTCAAAGTTTTTTTTCGAGGAAATTTGTTTTCGCTTTTGACTCATTATTATACTTTATAAACCAGAAATTTACTTTTCCACTTCACCACACAAATGTGACATCAAATTGACACCTTTGTAACTAAAAACTGAATACATATAAATCCACTTTGACCTGCAAGAAATGAAATGGGAGTGCTGTCTATTCTCTATACGCATTTATTAAAAAACGACACAAATCGAAGGAAAAGCTTAGTATTTTTGGCTAATCGGGGCGACACAAATCGGGGCATTAAAATACAATCTATTAACACATCAATTAGGCAGGAATGAAAACTTTTGACATATGACTATGGAACCGTATAGGATGAACAACAATATTCCGAAAAAGTTAGTATTGGAAGGGTGTACTAAGGTGGGTATTGAAATTTTAGGAAATTCGAAAAGAATTCTATGTTTTTATTAAATTAAATTAATCAAAAATTGGAAATTTTCTTTCTACACTATATTTTAGAGACATTAACCTATTTAAAGCGAATAATCCAACTTATATTTATATTAATTAAAGGATCCCAAATTTCACTTAGCTGTGAAAATTTGATATAAAATTTGATGTACCTGCAGTGAACAGAAAATTAAGTACAATCTAAATTTATTTTAAGTCAGTTATTCGAAAAGAAAATTTAGTGCTATTCTTATAGCAGATTTAGTGCTATTCTTACAAAAATTCTTCTTGTTAAAGTATTTGGCATGAAAAATTAATTAATGAATAAAAATTATCGACAAGAAAATTCAGGTGATTTACAACTGAAATCATTACCAGAAAAATTCCATCTTTATATTATCAGTTTTATTATAAAAACATATTTATGGTTTATAAAGTCGGATAATAAATCTTATCAGCCAACTAAGAATCTACAAATAAAACTTTTAGCAATCATTTTTATTTCAATTTTATATCATTGGAAAGGAATTTATCCAAACTTTAATAAAAATTATGTCTCACAGTCGTAAGTCAGATCTATGATTTTATGACATATACTTGAGTTATTATGACAATCGTGCTGTGAGATCAGTTAGGTTACCAAGCCAGAAATAATTCACTCTATTTAGTTTACAGTTAGAAGACAGACAAATGATAAGTTCGGATTTATAGATTCGAAAGGATGTTAAGTATTTAGTAAAATATTTTTTATTTTTTTTATTTCAGTTCTACAAAATTAACGGTTTTTTCTTTAGGTTGATGTGCACTTAAAGAATTTAAAGTTTTATGAAAATATTTTCTATAAAAATATATTTGTCGTTAAAATTTACAGAAATTAAATGAAAGCACTCGCTTGACATAACTGCTTTAGGTTTATACTGAATCCTGGTTTTAATAGTTTATGTAATGTGCAGATTTAACTCAACAATTGCAAGTTTCATTATTCAAAATTCCAATCCATTTTTATTTTACTATAATAAAAAGTGTATATGTGAAACAAGAATATATATAGGGTTAGACGATTGAAGTGTTACCTATTCAAGCGACCATATCTTTTTTGTGTGAAATTATTTTTTATTGATTCAAATTACAAAATTTGTGGAAATAATCAACATTTTAGAAGCGATTGGATTCTGCTTTTGCTTTGACTTTGACCTTCAAACGGTTAAAAATGAGTTGCATGCTTCACGAATGTGATCTTCCGGTATTTTGAGCCATTAGCGGAACCACACTGGCATATTTTTTAGTTCTCATAAGTACTGGAAGCTTAATTTCTGAGGTGTCCTGTAAATTCCACAAAACATTTCAAGTGTGTCTATTAAAATGCAGGACACAAATGTCTACGTCACTTTTGAAATATAAACGCTTTTTGTCAAAAAAAATTTCCATTCTTGTGATATGCACCAACTTCTAAAATTTTTATACTTCCACAACTGTTCTGTTAGTGTGTTCATAATAATAAAAGATATATATAAGA